GGTGGGATTGCTAATTCTGAAGAAGACAGAGTCAGGATTCAAAATGATCTAGATAGGCTGGAACAGTGGGCTGAGACAAATAAAATGAATTTCAATAGAGATAAATGCAAAGTCCTACACTTAGGTACAAAAAATCAAAGGCACAGATATAGAATGGGAGGGACTTGTCTTGACAGCAGCACATGTGAAGGGGATCTGGGTGTTCTGGTTGATCACACGCTAAACATGAGCCTGCAGTGCGATGTGACTGCGAAGAAAACTAATGCAATCTTAGGATGCATTAACAGAAGCATTGTGTCCAGATCACGAGAGGTGGTAGTTCCGCTCTATTCTGCTATGGTCAGGCCTCACCTGGAGCACTGTGTCCAGTTTTGGTCACCATGTTTTAGGAAGGATGTTGACAAGCTCGAGCGTGTCCAGAAGAGGGCAACCAGGATGGTGAGAGGGTTGGAATCCAAGTCTTATGAGGAAAGGCTGAAAGAGTTGGGTATGTTTAGCCTGGGAAAGAGAAGGCTTAGAGGGGACAATACTGCAGTTTTCAAGTATTTGAAGGGCTGTCATGTAGAAGATGGAGCAGATTTATTCTCTCTTGCTCCGGATTGCAAGACAAGATCTAATGGGTGGAAATTACAAGGGAGTCGTTACCGGCTAAATATCAGGAGAAACTTCCTAGCTGTAAGAGTGGTTGAGCAGTGAAACAGTCTGCCTCAGGAGGTGGTGGATGCTCCTTCGCTGGATGTTTTCAAGTGGAGGCTGGACAACCATCTTTTGGGTATGTTGTAGGTATGTAGAGCATCTTCCAGCTATGCTCCTGCAGAGTGTAGGGGGTTGGACTAGATGACCTGCAAGGTCTCTTCCAACTCTAACATTCTATGATTCTATTTTTATTTATCTGATATAAACAGGAATACAATGTGTTTTTGGACTACAGACTTAAATCTGCTGTCTGTCCATTACAGAGTGTTAAGTCAGTCAAAGCCCAGTTCGAGTCAAACTAGTAATAACACTGATTTGCATTGCATTTTAATATGCTCTTGACAAGTATGTATTTGTCAATTATGGATGCAATTTACTCCAGATTTATTGCCCCTGCAGTAATTCTCTCAACAGCCAGTTTCGTTATTATAGGAATGTCTTGATCTTGTCCAAAGCAAACCCAATTAAAAGTCTCACGAGGATGACAGCACCAGCAGTTTTAGTAGAGGCTTGAATCTCTTGTCCTCCCACAAAAATTATATTGCTATACTGTCTTGAAAACTATCTAGTTATTATGCAATAGTACACATTACAACTAGGGTTTCCAGGCCCCACCCCCAGCTGCTGTTTCCTGTTGCCATTCAGAAAGGCAATAGCACAAAAACAATTAAAAAATGGTTGCGGTTTCCCCCAGAAGTTACATCAGTCCCCCTAGGAATCGCCAAAAACTTACCTATTCCTAGAGAGGTGTGATGTGATGTCTGGATTTTTCTGGAAGTGATATCATGCCATTGGATGATAGTAGTAGTAGTAGTAACATTTATTGTGTAGCCAATGGCCATTACAATTTAAAATTTAAACAATATACAAATTAAGACAACTTACAGCACTGGAATTTGAATTAAATTTAAAATATAATAAGCTCTAAAATCTGCACATTCAGTATTTAAATTTATTAAAATCTTAAATATAGATACCCATCTCCAGAAACACGCACACATTGCCGTTTTACATTGCCGATTTAAAATTCAATTTCATTTCATTTTCCTATGTTCTTGGCCCTGATTTTACTAGCTGCTAAGGCGAAGAGTGCTACCCTATAGGAAACTGTAGGGTCTGCGTCTGACAGCAGAAATATTAATTTATCGGTGTCAGAAAATTTTTGCAATTTATCTGTTACTGCAGTCAAGAAATTACATCTTGGTTCCCAGTACAATGGGTGCCATTGGATGATGGGCCACCCTCCCACATCCCTGCCTCCAATCTTCTGCTGGTTGCCATGCTGGGGCTGGTAACCATAATTACAATATATTGATGGATGAAAATAGTAGATGAGGATGAGAGAAGAAATTTGCGGCTATGAAGTTCAAGTTTCAGGATTTACATGATAAAAATGAGCATTTGAACAATCCCACAGAGAAACAGACACCGTGGCCATATATTCCTGCAAGGAAAGTAAGTGTAAAATTATCCTGTGGTTAATGTTTACATTTTTGTACATTTTAATGGGCAAAATATAATTATTGGGATGTCCAGAAAAGTAACACTTCAATTCTGAATTTCAGTTGAAGTTACCAGTTCTTGGTACCTTGATTACTATTTCCAACCCAATAAACTGTCAATTGTTTTTTGAAATATAACAAGAATATTGCTAAATCGTGGCGCCATCAGCCTCAAAAACACGGATGCATTTTTACCAAAAGACTGTCTCCTTTCAGACCAACCAACTTCCAAAGTGGCCATACTCTGCTTATGTGAAACAATACAAGAGGATTTGAAGAGACAGCAGAGATGCAAACCCTCACATTATATGGCACGTTTACAACTGCCAAGGAGAAACTCCTTGTACCATTCAAGGATCCCACCTTTGCAAAGGCAGCTACTCTTGAAATGTTACCCACCATTACCTGTGGAACTGTTCACCATGTTTGGTGCCATGCTGTAAGGAGGAGCTTGAGGGTTCATCAGGCTGGAGTTGTTGTTCATTGGCTGGCTGTAGGGAGAGCTGGATCCCATGATGCCACTTTGATTCATGACAGGAAAGCTGCCTTGCCTGAGGTAAAGAGAAAGCACATACACACATGCACAAGCTCTCATTATCTTTCTTACTGCACAGGAACTTTAATTAGTCAGAGAATTCATACTTCAGCACTCTCAGATACCTAAAGAAGAGGCAGCCAGTTAGTGTTTGCCTGCAGTGAGGAAGAGAGCTATTTGTTGGGTGCATATTAATTGAATTAAAAATTAGCTCATTTTCAGGCTGGGTCTACAGTCCAAGCTAATATCAAATAACCATGCAGATCTTTAAATGGAATACATGTTAATTTGACATGGACACAGCCTAATATTATGTACAGAGGCTGAGGTTCTTGCATGGCCGCATGTACAACATGATGGAAGCACAGAAAAGAGAAAAGAGTGCTTGCCATTGGTGTAGGTAGGAGGAGGCTGTATAAATTAATGTTTTTAGAAAAAGAAAGTTCTTTTGATTCCACTTGGTCTACCATATTATAAAAGCAAGCCATAATAAGAATGAAAGGATGCACGCACGCACACACAAATATGTTGATACTTCTTCTGCATGAAAACAATTATGGTTGCTTATTAAGTGGGATTTTTAAAAGCACTCTGGATAGCAGCAAAAACTATAGACATGCACAGCTGTATCACAAGACCTTTTGGGGGTTCTCTTGAAATGGCTTTAATGGAACTAATGAATGAAATCAAGGAATATTGCTCCTTGCCCTCAGAGTTGGTGTTGTAGGACTAAAATTTTTATTATGCTTCAAATGTTTGGTGGTATAAAGGGAAGTATTCTCTAGCACCAAGGGAACTATGGTAAAGTTCCAATCCATAGGCAGAAATGTTCACAGGGTATAAAAGTCACGGATGTCATCATCTTCTATTTTTATGAACAAATATTTATCTTGACCAAAATGAGTCCCCAGCCCTTCTCAGATGTTTCTATATAAGAGAGGTTATATGGTCTGGTTTTAATGCTTTCTGCAAAGATAAACATATGCTTTGGATAAGGTGTCACACTATCTGTAAATCTCCTAACAGAACAATCTTAAACAGACTTGCACTCTTCTAAGTCCACTGAAGTCAACAGGCTTAGAAGGATGGAGTTTTTTTAGGACTGTACTGTAAACTGACCTTCAGGTGACAGAGATCAGTTCCCCTGGAAAAAACTGCCACATTGGAAGGTGGACTCTATGGCATTATACCCCACTGAAGCCCCTCCCCTCCCCAAATGCTAACCTCCTCAAGCTCCACCCCGCCAAATCTCCAGGTATTTCCCAACCCGAACCTGGAAACTCTACTCAGAGTAACTAAATCTGATAAACTCATCAACTTTTAATCCTACTTTATTGAAGCATGCTCTGTACAATCTCATGATAGCTATCTGTGACAGCTATTTCACACATGCAAAAAGATAAACATGATATTATAAAAAGTCTAAGGATCCTGGGTGGGAGGAAAGATTCTACCATTACCAAGAATACCAAGCAACACCACAAAACAGGGGTAGGACAGATAAAATAAATGCAGTCTACTCTAACTGTACTCTGATAAACAATATGGTTAGGAAAGGGACATGCTGTCCTCCGTATCTCCAGTAGTGGAAAAACACAACAGTGAATAATGTTGTCCTAACATCTCCCCCCCCACCCCAATATTCTTTCAAAAGCCTTTACCAATGAAAACACATATAGTTAGTTTTGCAATTTAACACTCAAAGATACGTGGACATTTTTAAAATTACTTTAATGTTGGGGTAAGAAAAGGTTAGAAAACACCAGCTTTAAGATTTCTTGATGCTGTATGCATTTCTTCAAAGTGCCAGAGAAAGTGTGAAATTTTTTTCAAGTCAGTTTTGCCCTCTGCTGTATAGAAGAAAAACTTTTCTTCTGTATAAGAAAGCAAAGGATTTTCTTTGATGTGAAGGAGACCAATTGACATACAATGTCATTCTGCTGACAAAGCTTATGATGAACTGGGGTGTGTGTGTTTATATTTAAAATGCATACTTTTACAATTCTCCATAGGGAAAAAGACAAAGGGAAAAATGGATGACACCATTTGCCAACAACTTTGAAATATTTTTAGTGAAATCAAGCTTTTCTTATGTAAATATTGTACCTTTAAAAATGTGGTCAAAACTGTTATGTAGAACAAGCTTAGGTGTTACCCCCCTCACATCTATGTACCTGTTCTGCATTAACAAATACCTTTTATACTAGGAATAAATAGTGCATTAAGGCAAAAACAGAAATGAAACAACAGCCATCTAACTGAAAATGCTACTTATCCAAATTGATTTTGTGTTTTATATCAGGGCAACCATTGTATAAATAGCACTTTTGAGTATCCAGCACTTTGTATGGATCCATGTGCATTTCTTTTTAAGACTTCAAGGAAATTTGACTTTAGAGAGACTTTAGATCTCTAATCGGGTAAGCAACTTTAAGGAAGCATTATTCCAAGCAACTTTAAGGAAGTATTATTCCAACATCAACAAACAGCTACTAGTGATCTTTAATTTGACATCTTTCATCTCAGATATAGGGTTACCATATTTTGAAAAGCAAAAAAGAGGGCATATTTCCCAACTGACTACTTCAAACAAGTGATCACTATGACAAATCTCATTTTAAATACCCCTGCTATTTAAGTTGTGATAATTGCTACTAACTAGGAATATTCCTAACCTTCCAACCCCAAAAGAGGAAATTTTCATCAGTTTTTTAAAAAAGAGCTCAAAAGAGGATAGGCACCAAAAAAAGAGAAGACATGTCCTCTAAAAAGAGGATGTCTGGTAACCCTATAGATAGCTTCTCTAATTATGGGGTTCCACGAAGGCAGAAAGTTCTGTCCATACAGACCTTGGGGGACCTTCTGCCATGTTAACTAGGAAAAGAAACAAATACGTAAGAAGATTTCCAATATCTAACAACTGCAATGTTACATAGCCAATGCAAAGCAGAAAGTAAAAAACAATCAACTAATCCCCAATCCACCTCCAAAACTCTAGGCAGCTTAAAAAAATAAATAAAAACTACAGTTCTCAAAAAATGATTCAAAGGCTATTTACCAAATGCCTATAGGATCCTAATCCAATTCATACCACTGATCAAAGTATGAAAAAAATCAACCTAAACCTAAACAACCTAAACAACAGTACCATCAACAGAAAGGAGGGTAGATGCTATACATACCAATGCTATTGGTTCCTACAAGTTTAGTAGGACCCACTCACTTAATTTGGAGGCATTCGTAATTAACAGAAAGTGGGGGGGAAATCCAGTTATTTGAAAACATACTTTGAGATTCTATAATAATGCAAAAATCTTAGTTATTACCATTATGATACATTACTTTACAGAATCACAGCTCTTCAGCTAATCACCGCAGAAAGACCCATCTGAGAAAATATGGTTGGACTGGTGCTTGTTACTATATATTACCTTATTTTTACCATTTTACCATATACAAACTTGATACCTCCCTCCCTTCTCTTTTTGCATGACCCATCTGGTTCAGAGACTGTAACCAGAGGTAATATCACGTACTGGCAGGCAGATCTCTTCCCCTTGTACCTGTGTGTAACGAAGCCCTAGAGGATCTAGATATGTCCTAAGGGATTCTTCCCCTGCTGTATTTGTGTTACAATTAACTTCCATGTAGCTTGCTTCTGAGACTGAATAATAGTCTTCCCTCAGAAGTCACTTCAGGGCAGCACTCTGAAGAGTGACATTGTTTCTGCAATACTTCCAGTAACTGGAAGCTAATCTACTCCCAGTAGTAACCTGTCATATAACTTTTTGCACTCATAAAGATAGAAGGCAAAAGTCATGAAGGAAAGACCAGGTGATGGGCAACGGGTTCCAATGGCATTGGAAAGTGGGTGCGGCAAGAAAAAAATTATTGTAACTCTGAAAGGACTAGACCTGAAGAGACCACTAGGCCTAGGGCTAAATGTTAGCTGAAGGAGGGTGATGGATGGTTGTGTTCCTAAATTCAATGAAAACAAGAATGGAAATGACAAGGCTCCTCCTACCAAAGGGTAGAAGTCGGATAAAGCAGCCTTGATGGGTGAAAAAGTCCACCAACTCAGATGTGATCTGGTGTCCTAGCTGACTAAACTGTTCTATGGCAGCCTGTGCCAGGAAAAGCAACACTGTGCCAGAACACTATCTTTTCATTCTTACTCCAAAATGCTTTTGCTTTGAATAAAAGGTAACTGACCGTGACAAAGTGCTGCTTCCATTGTCGAGTCCATTATGAACTGAGCTGAGATCACCAGACTTGTTTTGATTAACTTCCATGTCCATAAACACCAATAAATCTGTCCCAAAGACATTGCTAAATATATTTATATATGCTTAAGGTCATAGCATTATTTGTCAGTTACCTGAGTTATGTTTAAAAAAGAGGGAGAGGATCATATGCTTCTGCCAACATTTATTTTCAACAAAGGGCTATTTGATCTACTCTATCTGAAAGAGACTTAGCTTAAAAACACACTTTCAATCTGTCCTCTCCAACCTAAACTCTACTGAGGCTAAATTAAGATTAGTTGTTGAGGTGTTTAAAGCTTGTTTCTAAACCTGTAGTGGCATTTACAGATGAAAGCCTAACTGTTCAAGCATGGAACAAATTCAATGAGCCACATGCAGTACTCTGAACATAATACCCTGGTTAAAAGCAAGCCAGTGGGTGCTTTTTTTGAGCAACAGAAGCAGGATTTTTACCCAAGGTTAGGCAGTGCCAATGATTAGACATAATAAGATGGGGAGTGGGAAAGAAAACTTCAAAACACATAGGATGTAGAATCTGCTGAAAGGAATTAATGAAACCTCACAGGTTCTCACACATGCAAAATTACTGCCAGGTGAATTACTGAATTCACAGTAGGATACATCATTTTACCCATTTCTAAACCATATTAGCCTCTTTTCCAGGTACCTATTTAAGACAGGACTTGCCTGAGATGCAGGCCACTGGTGCGAGCCACAGCCAAAGAGTTCCTGGCCTTTAGCTGTTAGCCTG